TGTGTGTGTGTGTGTGACCTCTAGCTCGTATCCTGAGGAACGTGCTCCACTTCCTGGTCCAGATCGGGGACGTGTGCAACGAGAAGCTGGGCTCTCCCTACAGGAAATGCCGGTCCGTGTTCAACAAAGGCCACGCGGACTGCGTCCTACAGTTGGGAGAATTCAGTCCGCTGTGTGATGTCATCAAAGTCTTCATGCCGCTCTGCAGCCTCACACGCGGTAAACGTGGATTCACGTCAGAATAAAAATAGAACAACAAAACGAAAACACCTGGAGAATATTTAAAAACGGCTTTGTTGTCGTCGTCCGTTCGTTCGTCTCAGCTGCGGAGTTCTTCTGCATCATCCCGTCCTACATTGCGGAACATCTGAAGGAACATCTGGCCGATCGTGAGTTGACGTGTGTTTTTCTGTTCGCGTTCCCGTGAGTCCAGCTCTTCTCCACATCTCCGCCGGTTTTTTTTTTCCCAGCCGTGGTCAAAGCCTTCCAGAAAATGAAGCGGGAGTTTGAGTTCAACATCACGGCCACAGCGACCTTTGACCTGGAGGTGAACAGCAGTCTGACGCTGCAGCAGATGACGCAGGACATCATGGCTGAGGTTTCCTCAGACCTGCACCGGTTCCAGGACCTCAGTGAGCCCTTGAAGTACGTCGGTCTGCTGCTGCTCCTCCTCTCCTTCGTCAGGTAAGAGAAGGAGTTGGCGATCATGGCCTCAGAGGATAGGGGGCGCCGTTGTGTGACCGTCCCTCTGTGGGTGTTTCTGCAGAGCAGCGCGGTACAGACGGCGCTATCTCAGCGACCTGAACTTTGACAACATCTACATGACCGCTCAGTTTGAAAAGCTTGACCAGAAGTTGGTGTCGGAGGGCGCGGTGTCAGTCTGGCCAATCACGCGCCGAGAAGCCACAACCTACATCACACCACGTGAGTGCATCTGAGTGTGTGTGTTGGGGAAACAGTAGCTGCTGTTCCACTACTGCCCCCTGTGGTCAGTTTGGGAGGAAGTGGTTTTACAAACTGTCTCCTTTTGACCTATGACCTCAACGTCCCCAGAGTGAGGACCAGCTGACGTCACTGTCCCTCTCTTCTCCAGTCTCTTTGTCTCTGTCTCGTAAAGAGAAGAAGACAGTGTTAGTGGGCGTGGCCTCTGTCGTCAAGTACCTGGTGGTGGGAGGAGTGCTGGTGGCCCTGGACTTCCTGGTCTTCTGGATCCTGGACCAGGTGCGTCACCAGCTGACGGGGGACGTGGTGGCTAGAGGTGAGTCCTGATAGGATAGAACAGGCACGGGCAAACTAAGGTCCGGGGGCCGGATGCGGGCCGCCAAACTCATTTATTTATATTATCAATATTTATTACAATATTTATTTCTTCCTTTTCCCTGCGCCTTTATGCACTCCCCAGCAGATGGCGTAGAAAATGATAGCATGATGATTTCAGCCTTTATGCATGACTTCCACATGTCATTTTTCTTCTCACATGAACGCTCCATCTATCTGATCCTCACCCGCTCCTCTGCCCCGGTCAATTTCTAGGACAATTGTCTCCTGCGGGTCAAAAAGTTTGCCCACGCCTTAGATAGAACATGTCTTGGGGTGTCCATCAAAGTAGGGTTCTGACCCCTGTCCCCCTCCTCAGCTCCTGTTGTGGTCTCGGTCCAGGTAAATGGGTCTGGATACGCCTCGGACATCTTCAGAGACCTGGTGTCCTCCTTCAATGTCCTGCAGACAGGAAACATCACTGTCATCAGTGGGAAGTGTCTGCTGAGACCTTTACAACCGGACTACTACAGCTGCCTCCTGCTGGGTAGGACACCAAAGTCAACGGTTTTCAGGCTCCTGGTGTTCCTGATGTTCCTGATGTTCCTAGGTTCCTGGTGTTCCTGAGGTTTTTGGATTCTGGTTGTTTTGTTCTGAGCTTCCTGAGGTTGTTGGATTCTGGTTGTTTTGTTCTGAGCTGGTTCTTCTCTCTGACAGGTTTCCTCATGGGTTTGTCCCTCGTCATCTCTGTGACCGGAGGCTTCGTCAAACGCTCCCGACGACTGGTCTGTGCTGCGTATTATCCACAGAGAGAGGAGGTTAGACACACACACACACACACACAGAGAGAGACAGATACACAGACAAGTCACAGATTGTCTGTTCTGTTTATCTGTTGTCCACAGGGGGGCAGTAAAACCCAGAATATAAACCCTGATTTTTTTTTTTTAAAGCATGTTTTTCTCACAAAGCAGAGACTTTTTATCTGAACAACAGTTTACTCAGAACTTTGATTTCACTTGTTCTTTAATTTTACAAACAGAAACTCAAGGGGTTTTTTTTTTATATAAAAGAATTCTCACTGTCTCTGGTCCTCACTGGACCACAGACTGCCTGGACCTGCTTTAGTTCAGCTCCACTCCAGGTTCCTGTGCTGGTTCCTCTCAGACCAGATGTTCTTCTTCAGTCTCTGCTCTCTGGTCATGTCGGTCTGAACCCTGATGTCGTACTGTGTCAGTGAAGTGAGACAGACCTCACTGCTCTGCACCAGGGGACACCTTCAGTGTGGACATGGTCTTTGACCGGTTTGGTGCCGGGAGTTTCAACCTCGGGATCAGAATCAGATCAGGATCAGGATTAGATTATTGTTTAGAATCAACAGCTTCTCCACTGTCAGGAACTGTAGGTGAAAGGTCAGCGGCAGACTGAAGAATCTGAAGAATCTGAAGAATGAATGTGAGAGAAGAAGAGGAGGCAGGTCTGAACTCATCACCCTGGGACCTGAACCACACAAAGACCTGAGCCAGACTCTGAGACCTGGACCCCTCTGAGACCGGGACCCCTCTGAGACCTGGACCCCTCTGAGACCTGGACCCCTCTGAGACCTGGACCCCTCTGCGACCTGGCCCCCTGGGCCTGTTCCATTGTCAGACCTCGTCTCTGTTTCAGGCTTGTTGTTGTAAAATGTAACCTCGGTCGACTTCACCTCGTTAAAGTAATAACTGCAACTAAACGTTTTGTGTTTTCAGCGTCTTTATTTTTGACATCGTGATAAAGTTGTTGGTTTAAAAGTTTAACATGTGCCGTGTTTGCCTTTGTGTCAGGAGAGGATCCAGTTCCTCCGTCAACAGATCCTGGATTTGAGGAGGGCCGAGGGCGTGGCCCTGAGGAGGAGCGCAGTCAGGAGTCTGGCAGATCGAGGAGAAGGTGGAGGAGAACAGAGTCTTCCAGAAAAGCTTCTGCTGTGGTACATGAAGAGTCTTTAAAACTGTCGATGTGAACCACACTGGGCTGCGGTCCACTCCCGGAGCCACGGCTTTACCCTCCTCCACACTCTAGTCCAGTCCATAATGTTCTGCGTTGTTCCAGGTTTCCTGGAGGATCTCGTCTTTCCCGCCTCGTTGGTATGACATCGACAGTCACGTGTGTGAGTTGCGGGGAAGAGCTGAGGGCCAATCAGATGGACAGAGTGGTCTGTGATGTCCCGCAGTGTCCAGGTGAAAACAATCGGTACCTGAAGGAACTGAAAACCACGTACACCATCAACGTACACCGTCAACCCTCCAGGACCTGTTCACTGAAAACCACATACACCATCAACCTACACCATCAACATACACCATCAACGTACACCGTCAACGTACACCATCAACCTACACCATCAACCTACACCGTCAATGTACGCCATCAACCTACACCATCAACCTACACCGTCAACGTACACCGTCAACCTACACCGTCAACCTACGCCACCAACGTACACCATCACCCTACACCGTCAACCTACACCATCAATGTACACCATCAACGTACACCGTCAACCTACACCATCAATGTACACCATCAACGTACACCATCAACCTACACCGTCAACCTGCACCATCAACGACAAACTTTATTTTCTCTGTTCAACATCAACTCACTGGGTCACATTTTATTTTCTTTCGACCATGAACCATGAACCATGAACCGAGGAATTCCAAACAGTTGTTTTCCACCACATCTACCAGTCTACAGTTCCAAACAGTTCCAGTTCCAAACAGTTCCAGTTCCAAACAGTTCCAGTTCCAAACAGTTCCAGTTCCAAACAGTTCCAGCTCCTGTCCTCGCCTTCAGGCCTCGGGCTGTTTCCTGTTTTGCCTGTAAACATTGAACAGTTCAGTTTCACCTGCTCGTGAAGGTGTGGTGAGGATAACTTTCATTTTCCCAAATGTGTTAACATAAAGGGGGCGGAGTCAGGAGCTCCAGATGTCTTTGTTCCTGTTTGAAATCCTGAACAAAGATCATGTTCCTTTAATCTGATCTGTGTAGCCCTGACACCAGGGACAAAGTACAATATGACAACTGAGTGTGTGTGTGTGTGAGTGTGTGTGTGACACACACACAGTCTTTCTAACTGTTGTTGTCGACTCGGCTGTTGCCAGGCAGATAACACAACAAACACGCAGCACCGAAACGTTTCCTCTTCTTAAACCCTACATCGACCACACATGTAAACACACACACACACACACACACACACAGTGTTGGTTCTGTTGTGCTCAGTTCAGTGTAACCCTTCTCAAACCCCCCCCTGCCCCCTCCCCTCGGTGGTCCAGGCCTCTACTGTCGCCCGTGTTTCCACAGTTTGGGAAACACCTGCGTCGTCTGTACTCGACCTCTGACCTTTCAGGAAGACAGTGAGGAGGAGATGTAAGTGGAAATGTCCTCACCTGGTCTGAGATGTTGTCTTAATCCGCCGAGTCACTCGTACTTATTTTGATGACTCACTGATTCTGTGATTTCGCCGAGTCACAGTCAGAGAAGTGCTGACTGAAGTTGGCCTCACAAACATCAACGACGTCAGAAGTTGCCGACTCGTGCTCTGGTTCTGCTGAAACGTTTGATGAGTCATGACATGGTGGCTCTGTTGACCCACGCGGTGTGACCTTTTTGACCTCAGAGACTCCAGCGATGACGAGCAGCTGAGTTTGTGGACGGCAGCTCTGAGGTCCAGGAGGCTCGCGGACCCACAGACCCGGACTCTGATGGAGAAGAGGATCGCTGTAGCAACGCGTCGCAGAACCACCGGTCCAGAGGATCCGGGAGACTCGGAGCTCAGGTAGGATGACACACACACACACACACACACTCAGAGGACCATGCAGTAAACCTGGAGCCCGTCTGGTCTGCCCTCAGTGAAGCCGACATGACCTACCAGGACCAGAACTGTTCAGATGAGTCTGACAGCGGAGAGTCTGACCGAGTCTCTGCCTCCCCAAAAACCAGCAGGCACCAGGACCAGGACCAGGACCAGGACCAGGACCAGGACCAGGTGCTGGTCTCGGTCGTTGTGCACAAACCAGACCAGGGTCCGTGAAGAACTAGACCGTGAGCAGGTTTAGGATCTAACGAGAACCGGACCACGAGCCGGAACTTTAACCTCATTAACTGTCAGTGGAGTTGAGGGACTGGATGAACTGGGTGTCAGGGAAGTGTGGAATAGATAATAATGAAAAAGTCGATTAAAAAAATACAACCCATGTACTGTAGTACATCTGCTGAAGTATTTATGGTATTTAAGTATACAGTATTTCAGACTGCAGTCCACATCTGGTCCGTGAGCCACATGTTTGTTGATCAGGCTCCAACACCAGTGGACATGTTTGAATTCCCCACGTCCTTGAGGACACTCCCCCCCTCCTCTCCTCCCTCCCCTCTCCTGTGCCCCTCCCTGTATGATTTATTTTATTTTCTGTTTTTATTTGAATGTGTTTGAAGTGAAAACTCCGTCCACGGTCGACTGTGTTCAGTTTGATGTTTTATTTTTCGTAGCTGTTGAACTTTGACACGTGTTCCTGAACTGAAGGTGTTAAATATGAACATACTGGGTGAATATATATTTTAAACACTTTTTAGCCAGTCAAATCCAGCAGAGGAAAACTGTTTGTTGTGTGTGTGTGTGTGTGTGCGTGTGTGTGTGTGTTGGGCGTGGCTGATAACAGCTCAGACACAAAGACACTCAACAGAAAGCCTGAAAAGCACAAATATTCACACCCAGTTCTCTGTGCGTGCGTGTGTGTGTGTGTGTGTGTTCAGTGGGAGGAGTCTGTGACTCTGCAGGAAACACTGTGTGAACTGACACAGTCTGTGCTCCCACTGTCTGTTCTGTCCCGCTCTGTTCTGTTCCTCACGCCCAGAACCTGCACAAATGGACTCCAAGGTAAGATGACGGTCACTTTTGTTCAGTTGTGAGTGGTCAGCTGGTGGAGGGCACGGGCGGGGAGTGGACCTCGGTGTTGGCGGGTCCTTCACTCAGGTGTCAGGTATCAGACAGGAGCTGATCAGTGTCAGTCTTCTTCCTCTTCTTCTTCTTCTTCTTTGGCTCAGCTCCAACAGCAGGAGTTCAGACTCCGTAACTTTTGTCCTGCTGGACTTAACCGCTGGTTGTTACTGATGGTACTGACACCTGGTGCAGCCGTTGGTCCTGTACATCCTGTAGGACTCGCCTACAATTAAAGACGCTGAATTTGAACTGTAGAGTCAGCAGTGACTGCAGCACTACCAGCGCCCCCTGCTGCCATGGGCTACCTGGAAAACAAAAAGTGAAAACATGGCTGCCTGCAGGGGACCGAACAAAAACTTGATCTCGGTCAGTGTCGGTGTTTGACATTTAAGACATTTATTTATTAACTCCAGTCTGGTCTCACCTTCAGACTGACCTTTAACTAAAACACTCTGTTCCAAACCTCGTTGGGAAAATCAGTCATTTTAGCAGCTGTTTATCCACTGCCGCCCCCGTCACTCTGTCACAAGTTTGACTGTTGGTTTTTTTTCTCTCCACTGTTTGAATATCCTAAACCAGATTCATCTCAGTGACACAAACTGACCACAGGAGGCAGCAGTGGGCAAACTAAAACCACAGATGTCTGTTTCCTCTGTGGGAGGAGAAAAAAGGAACTGTAGAAAAACAAACATTTAACACCTTTGTGTCTGTGAAGTGAAATCACTGACTGTCATGGTCTGTGGACTTCGAGCTAAAAAGAAACCATTTTTGAATTGTAGTGTGTGTGTGTGTGTGTGTGTGTGTGAGAGAGAGAGAGAGAAAGAGAGAGAGAGAGTGTAAATGTGACACAACTGGAGAATATCATCATTTGTTAAACATTGTGCAGCCGCCGCCCTCTTTCACAACAGTCACCACACACACACACACACACACACACATTCCAGTTCTCCCCCCTCCCCTTCAGACCCACACGTCAGCTGCAAACCATCTGTTTGTCTTTTTGTGGATGTCGTGTGTCTTCACAGCTTGTTCTTGTGCGTCTGTAGTTATCTGTCTGTATCTGTAACGCTGAGCCCATCTGATGACATCATTCATGACATCACCCTGACTGATAACTGATGATTTATTGCAGTACTCCGATCTGGAGCTGGCCATCAACACCCTGGTCACTGAGTTCCATCAAGCTGCCGACAACGCAGCGTCCATGAACACCACCCAGTTCCAGACCATGATCGCTGACAAGCTGCCGGGATTCGCCAAGGTATGATGACATCACAGACACATGTTACATCATCACTGTGGAACCTGCTGACCTGTGTCAGTCACTGATTTCCAGGATCAGGTACTAGTCAGAGCAGGCGTGGACAAACCTTTGACCCGCGGGCCACGATTGTCCTGGAATTGAACGAGTAGGGGGGCGGGGAGGGGGGGGGGGGGGCGGGGGGGGGAACGGGGAGAAATGAAATGAAAAAGAAATACA